GGCACGGGCCCGGAGCCTCCGCCCCCCCCCCGGGGGCTCCCCCCGAGCCGGCCAGGACGTGTGAGAAACAGCCGGGAATGGAGCTTGGCACGGAGAGCCCCTAGCCCAGTGGTTCCAGGAGTAGACCCCGGGCCAGGGGACCCATATGGCCGACGGAGGTTCACGTCCCAGACACGCCGGCTGTGAGCTGGCATCCCGAAGTCCTGAGGAGGAGACGAGAGGGACGGGATAGTCGTGTGACCGTCCCCATCTCCTTCGGCCTCGCTCCGGGACGTCACGTGCCCCCGGCATATTAAAAATAAAGGCGTTCTCAGGCAGGCCGGGACCACGTGGGAGGCGCAGGTTCGATGCCGGGTCCAACCTAAGGCCGGGCAGCAGCTGCACCGTAGTCCCCCAGCACTGGATCCCAAGGTCCAGGGGAAGCGGCACCACTGCCCGGCCCTGGTCAGAAGGTCGGGAGGCAGGGTGCTCCCCAGCCAGGGGCTTCAGGGTCCCGACAGTGGAGGGCCCTGACAAGTCCCAACGAGCTGTCCCAGTGGATGTGGCCCTCGAGCCTCCAGGGTGACACGTTCCCCCAGGGGCACCCAGCGCCAGGCCCAGGTCTGATGTGCTGGGGGACGTGCCCTGGAACCTCGGCCGGTCCACTCAGCCCAGGGCGAGCACGGGGACTGTCGCAATGTGACTCCTGGGCCGGAGAGCTTGCCTCCGAAATCCAGAGGCTGGAGTGGGGCAAGCCCGAGCAACGCCCGCTGTGCCCATCACTGTGGTTGTGCAAGACCAGGAAGACGGCGTTGGGGCTGGGGGGCCGGGGGGCCGGGGCCAGGAACGCACCGGCCTTCTGAGCGTGAGACATTTCAAAACGCAACGTTAGAAACGTCTTGTTGCCCCAGGTCAGGGGTCCTCTCTGCCTCTGCAGGCGTCGGCTCCCCAGGGGCGTCTGCTCTGCGGCTTCTCCCTCCCTGGACCAGCCGGGTGGCCAGCTGGTTCTCGTCCTGGCAGGAGCTGAGCACTGTCCCTGGCTCCACCCACTCCACGCCATGGTCCCCCAGAAGGGATCCCACAGACCTCCCATGGGGACGCAGTGTCCCTTGGGGAGGCAGAGTCTACGGGAAACTGTGTTTGCTGGAGAGAGTGACAGGGGCAAGTGAGAAAACACCCCCGGGGGCCTGGCCAGGCCACAGTCCCCTCCCAGTCTCCTCTCGGGGTTGTGGGCAGTTTTCAATCCGCTGGGTTGGCCACGTGGAACCCTTAACCTCCGTGCCACGGGCTGGCCTGGCTGCACACACTTACATCCACATCCCGAGGGGAGTGATCCCAGAAGCTGGGGTGCCCGGCTTCCACTGTCGGCCCACCAGACTGAGCCTGTGTCTGTGGCAGGGGGCCCCCGGTGACGTTTCCCCCAGCCTGAGCCTGTGTCTGTGGCAGGGGCCACTCGGTCATTTTCTAAACGGTCACCACAGGCTCCCTGCCCCAGGCGCGTGGCACCGGGCAGCCTCTGCGGTGTCCTGAGCTCCACGGGTACTGAGCAGTGTCCCCACCGCCCCACCTCTGTGCCACCGCACCCAGTTGTGACAAGACCCCACCCAGTGTCCCCTGAGGTAGAGTCACCTTGGGCTGAGAGCCCCTGTCTTAGAGGTAAAGAACTGATCCCAGGACAACAGCTGGACAGACTGTGGTCCCTGTGGGGAGTCAGGGCCACCAGCCCTGTGCCCTAACTTCGCCCGGTCCCAGCTAAGTGCTGCTCACGGGGGCTTCAGGGTCACCTGGCCCACCTCCCTTGCCAGAGCCCCAGAACCCCGTGGGGAAGGCACTCCTACAGCTCAGTGGCTCTAAGGGCTGTGCGGGGACCTGTGGCCTGGGGTGGGTGGCAGCCAGCCTCCAGGGGAGCAGGACCCTGAGCCGAAGCCCCTGCCTGTCCCAGCGAGGTACCCCCAGGAGGAGGAAGTGGGGTAATCTCAACGGCCTCCCGCAGGGCTATAAGAGGAGACTGGCCTCGGGGCAGGCAGCCTCACCATGCCCCGCAGCCACTGGCCCGCCCACCTTGTCCTGGCCTCCATCCTGCTGGCCCTGCTCCTGGGCGGTGAGTGTCCATCTGTCAGCCTCAGGCGAGCTCGGGGCACTCAGGCAGGACCCAGGGGGGACCCACGTGCTGCCTGGAAGCAGAGGCAAGCCTGGGTGGGGTGGGGAGGAGCCCTGGGCTGAGGGGACTCAGGGCAACCACTGGGGCAGTGCCAGGAGGTGCCCAGCACACAGCAGGCCCTCGGTCACGTGTGTCAGGGAAGGGACAGGGGAGCCAGGGCCTCTGGGCCTCACCCTGCCTCAGTTTATCAACCTACGAAATGGGTTCCATCAGACACTGTTTTCTTCTGCTCCTTAAGATCTTTCCTGACCCTGGGGCCAGTGGGTGGTGGTGGTTAAGGCACTGGACTCCCACATGGCCCACCAAGGTTTGGGTCCCGGATTCCGCGGCTTGAAAACCATGCCAGGCACGTGTGCGCACATGCCCAAAGTCCCGGGAAGAGAATGAAGAGGGGGTTGCCATCCCCTGGGAGCGGTTTCTCACTTTCCCTCTACAGGTGTACCTCCCTAACCTTCAGGACCGGGAGTCGATTCCCGGCTGAACCCCCTTTCCACCAGCTCCGCACTGGGCCACGGGGCCTCCACGGTGCAGGAGGGAGGGAGGCTCAGGACGGCACCTTGACTCGGGTCGTACAGGTGCAGGCCAGGCGGCGCGCATCGTGGGCGGTCGGGAGGCGCAGCCGCACTCCAGGCCCTACATGGTCTCGCTGCAGTTGCAGCAGGCCGCGGGCAGCCACTTCTGCGGAGGCACCTTGATCCATCCGAGCTTCGTGCTGACGGCGGCCCACTGCCTGGCCGACATGTGAGTGCTGCTGCGGCGGGGTGGGCCCAACGCTGAATGCACCCCTGCACAGGCCTGGCCTGGGGGCCTCCTGGGCGGCCTGTGGGGGAGGGCCCGAAGGCATTGGTGGGTGTGGCCAGCGAGTGCCGAGGGCACCGCTGGGCGTGGCCAGGGAGGACCGGGAGGACCGAATGGGCATCGCTGGGGAGGGCCAGGATGACTGAGTGGGCGTGGCCAGGGAAGGCTGGGAGGACTGCGTGGGCGTGGCCGGGAGCGTCGGTGGGCGTGGCCGGGGAGGGCTGGGAGGGCAGAGTGGGCGTGGCCAGGGGCGCCCGGACACTGGTGGGTGTGTTGGGGACGGGCCGGGCACCGGTGGGCGAGGCTGGGGAAGGCTTGCAGGTGCCGGTGGGCGTGGCCGGAAGCCCGGCGTTGAGCTTCCATTCTGCAGCTCCTCCAACCTGGTGAGGGTGGTGCTGGGGGCGCACGACCTGCGGAGCGACGAGCCCAGCCAGCAGAAGTTTCGCATCACCCGCGTCTTCAGCAACGACTACAACCCCGAGGAGTTTCTCAACGACGTCCTGCTCCTGCAGGTGGGCTGGAGCCGACTTTTCCAGCACAGCTGCGTCCCCGGCCCTGCCGTCTGCCTCGCACCCTGCCCCTGCGCCCAGGCCCCTCCAGCCCTGGCGATCCTTCCTGCCCAGGCTCCTTTTCACACAGGGGTCTCCCAGCCCACATGACAGCTCTTAGGAACACACGGCCCTCGGCTGCTCTTCTCTTGTTTCTGTACCAAAATAGGCTTAAAAAAATTTTTTTTGTTTTTTTTTTTGGTCGAGGGCAGCTGTGCTTGTCAGAGAGAGCGACAGCACCGCCCACGCCGCAATCCCTTCCACTCCACCTCTCCCTCCCGCTGGGATCTTGGCTGCGGGCGCCCACGTGTCCAGCGTGTTTTCGAGCTGCAGGACTGGGATTCGAACTGTAGCTGGCCACGTGGGCGCTGGCTCCCTTAGCCACTAGACTACAGGGTTGGCTCACAAAGTCCTACTTCGATCCCATTTTCTGTGAACTTTTTGAAGCCGACACGCTCGCATGGTCCTTCGGGCCCCTCCGGAGGGTAGAGTCTGTGTTGGTCACGGACTGGGCACACGGTCGGTGCTCACTAAGAGCTTTGAGATCAGTGGCCGCAGGAGTGACAGTCGTCACAAGGGACGGGCTGGCATGGGGACAGCGGGTGTCAAGGCGCAGTCAGGGGGCTGGGAAGGGGCGGGGCCAGACAGCGGGACCACAGGTGCCAAAAAGGGGGGTCTCGGGAGGCATGGCCAGGCCGCGTCTCACCACTTCCGCTTTCTGCCCAGCTGGACCGCCCAGCCACCCTGAGCCCCGAGGTCGCGGTGGCCCAGCTGCCGCGGCAGAACCAGCAGCTGACCCAGGGCACCCAGTGCCTGGCCATGGGCTGGGGCCGCCTGGGCACCAGCGCGCCTCAGCCGCGGGTGCTGCAAGAGCTCAACGTCACAGTGGTCACCTTCCTGTGCCGGCCTCACAACGTGTGCACGCTCGTGCCGCGGCGCAGCGCAGGCATCTGCTTCGTACGTACCGCCTGGGCCGGGGTCGAACGCCCTCTCCCTGCGCGCCGCACGCTGCTCCTGGGCCCCGCCTGGAATACGCACACCCGCTCCCCGGAGGGCTCCGCCCCTGCTCCCTCCGGGCGCTTGCCCCGCCCTCTCTGCGCCACCCTGTCTGGGGTCTCCCCGAGCCCGGCTCAGGGGCGCAGCTGGAGGCTGCTGGGTCGTGTTTAAACGCGGACCAAGCGCGTGACCCTCAGCAGCACGGCGCCTGGGGACTGACCAGCGGTCGCCTTGCAGGGTGACTCCGGGGGCCCCTTGGTGTGCGACGGCGTCCTGCAGGGCGTGGACTCCTTCGTGATCCGGGAGTGCGCCACGCGCCAGTTCCCCGACTTCTTCGCCCGCGTCTCGCTCTACGTGGACTGGATCCAGTCGGTGCTGCGCGGGCGGACGGCCCGCAGCCCCTGAGCAGCCCTGGGACCCCCGTGGCAAGCCTTTCTGGAAAGCGCCTTTGCTGAGCCCCGGCCTGACCCCGCCCCTGCCGCGGGACCCCCCCCCTCCCAGTCAGGCCCCGCACTGCCGGATGGTGCCAATAAAAGCTGAAACCCCGTCTGGCTCCTGTCTGTCCTTCCCACTAGGGAGGTGGGGACCGGCGGGGGCTCAGGATGCGGGGGTGGGGAGGGAGCAGAGGCCTGGGAGGCCCAGAGGCTCGCCAAGGCCGCACCGGGGCTCCCGCTTCTCATGGGGAAAATGCAGTCACCCCCAGGTTCCAACTCCTGGGTCTGGGCTCACAGGGTGGTGAGGACTGGGCCTGCGGGGATCCTGATCCAATCCGGGGCGGGGGGCTTTCTGGAGGAGGTGGCCAGTGTGAGGAGATGCGGGAGAGGAGGGCTGCCAGTAGGAGGAGCAGAGTGCAGGCCCTGGGGCAGGCCAGGGCTGGGAGGAGAGCAGGGCTGAGGCCGGCCGGGTCTGCCTGTCGTGGGAGGGGTCGGCGGGGCAAGGGGACCTGGGGCAGCGTGGGCGATGAGGCGGGCTGGGCCCGAGGGGAGGCTGGGGTGGGAGGGCGGCCGCAGCCCGGGCGGGAACGGCCCCGGACTCTCCGTCCTGGGCGGGCTCCCCCCTCACTTGTTCGCTCTGCCGCCCCCTGGTGGCCGCATACCGATCTAAGCGAGGGCACGAACGCCCAGGCCGGTCAGCACAGCAGCCTGGGTTCAAGGCTTGCCGGGAGCTTAGAAGACATGCCGCGTGCCCAGACCCTGCCAGGGGGGGCGACTGGAGGGAAATTATGGGGCGTCCTCTCTGCCAAAATACAAAAAAATTAGAAAGCAAAACGCCAGGAACAGCAGGTGGCATGCTGGTTAAGATGCTGGACTCCCACATGGCCGACTGCGGTCCCAGTCCTGAACCTGGTAGCTTCAAAATCACGCCAGGCACGTGTGCGTGCACGCCCAGAATCGCAGAATAGAGAGGGGATGTGGCGTGGCCATCCCCCGGGGGTGATTTCTCACTTCCCCTCTGTCTCTCATGAGTGCATGCTCCCTATGGCAAAAGCCACGGCAGCAGGGGCAAGCCCACGTGGCAGCGTGGCTGATTCTGGGAACAGTGCCTGTGCGTGCCCGCTTGCTAGGGCCCTGTGATTCCAGTAACTGGCCCAGAACCTTCTGGGGGGCCCATCACCTGGGACAGACACCCCCAACTCCTTTTCTATGGCTTGGGCAGCGAAGGTTCTGGGAGGGAGAGTTAAGAGCTGGGAGTCCAGGGATCTGGGCTGGCCTTCTGGCCAGCTGCGGTTGTCCACAGCGGGAATGAGCCATGCGGGACAGTAAACAGGAAACTCCCCAGACAACAGCACAGCGGTGGGGGGGGGAACAGCTCAAGGCGCCTGGCCTCCCACGGGGGGAGGCAATCAGCTTTATTTTCTAACTGCATAAGGATCCACTATGGGCAAGGGGCTTACCTGTAGCCCACTAGCTCCCTGACACCTCCATGTCCCCCCTCGGCACGCCCCACGCGGCCTGTCCCCACGGCAGTCACTGGGAGAGCACATGATGAGCAGCCCACCCGGCCCAGCTGTGGTGGGGGGCTCTGGGAGGCGGGGACAGACACTGGCCTGCACTGAGAGCCAGCTGCGAGGAATGGCGGTCGGAGGGTGGTGACACAGAAACCCTGTCTTTAAAAAGTGCCAGCCCAGGACCAGCAGTTAGTGTAATGGCTATGTCGCTGGACTCCCATGTAGTCGACCACAGTTCGAGTCCCAGACCCGGTGGCTTAAACTTATGCCGGGTGTGTGTGCGTGCGTGCCCAAGATCCCGAGAGGAGAATGGAGGAGAAGGGATTGTGTGGTGGCCATCCCCCTTGGGGGGTGATTTCTCGCTTTCTGTCTCTCTCTGTCTGTCTGGCGAGCGCACGTGCCCTATAGCAAAAACTTCTCCCCCCCAAAAAAAAAAGAAAGAAAAGAAGGAAAAAGAAAAGAAAAAAAGTGGCAGCCCAGGGGGCCAGCAGGGGTGTGGTTAAGGGTGCTTGGACTCCCACATGGCTGACTGTGGTTTGAGTCCCGGACCTGGTAGCTTGCTTTCTTACCCGACCCCCCCCACAATCTGTCCCTCTGTGGTAAAAAAAAAATAGATAAAAAAAGTTAAATTTAAAAAATAATTCTGTTTTAAAAAAAGTGCCAGACCAGGTCCAGCAGATGGCATAATGATTACGCCGCTGAGCTCCCACGGAGTGGGCCACGCGGGCCGCGTCCTGGCCCTGGCTGGTTGCAGGTGTGAAATGTGAACAAGAAGGGTCTGCGGAGTGGCCGTCCCCCGGGGTGGTTTCTCGCTCTCTCTCTGGCAAGCACACGTGCCCTATAGGGACCGTGGCAGGACGGCAGGCAGCTCAGCCTAAGGTGGCTGGATCCCACGGGGCCGGCTGCGCCGGTCGGTCCTGGACCCAGCGGCTTGAGATGTGACCAGGTGCCTGTGTGTGTGTC